TTGTCGCAAAGTGCATATCATCCCTCAAATAATTCCTTTGATCCGATTTAATTCTATCCCGAATGTCGGACTATCTAAATTCCGCACCAATTCAAATCCTATCTATTTTATTCTTCCCCATATTTTCTTTTCTCTATTTCCACCTTAATTTTCTTTTTTCATATATATTTTTTTCCTTTTTCTGTTTTTCTTCCCTATCCCTCCCTTTCTCTGTTTTTCCTTTTCTTTCTCTCTCTACTCGGCTAGGCCAAGCCAGACCGAGCCGGGGTGCTAATGGGCGATCGATCGCCAGGGCCATTGCCCAGCAATCGCATCCCCCCGCCTCCCTCCTATACGCAGTTCTCCCACTTCTTCCCTTCCTCCTCCCCTTCTTCTCTTCCTATTACAGTAAACCACAAAAAAGTTTTAAAAAATCAAATAGTTGGAAAAATTTATATATAGAAATACTATATATAAAAAATTTGAATTCAAATTTAAATTTAAATTCAAATTCAAATTCAAATTCAAACTTGAATTCAAATTTAAATTCAAATTTGAATCGGGTATGTAAACTTTTGACTTATAAACTTTGGATCTATAAACTTTAGGTGTATAAACTTTAGATGTATATAGAAAATATTTGAATTCAAATTTAAATTTGAATCGGGTATATAAACTTTAGTTCTATAAACTTTGGATCTATAAACTTTAGGTGTATAAACTTTAGATGCATATAGAAAATATTTGAATTCAAATTCAAATTTGAATCGGGTATATAAACTTTAGTTCTATAAACTTTAGGTCTATAAACTTAACTTTAGGTGTATAAACTTTAGATGTATAGAAATACTATATATGAAAAATATTTGAATTCAAATTCAAATTTGAATCGGATGTTTGAATTCAAATTAAAATTTGAATAGGATATTTGAATTCAAATTCAAATTTGAATCGGGTATATAAACTTTTGACTTATAAACTTTAGTTCTATAAACTTTAGATGTATAAACTTTAGGTGTATAGAAATATTATATATAAAAAAATATTTGAATTCAAATTTAAATTTGAATCGGATATATAAAATTTTGGTCTCTAAACTTTAGATGTGTAAACTTGAGGTATATAAATTTTAGGTGCATAAATTTACTAAAATAGGAAAGTAATGCGGTGACAAAAAAGGAAATAGGTGGAGGGAGGGAGGGGGGAGGTGGGGAGCGAATCTGATCGCTACCCCCTCCCCAGGGCGAGCAATCGCCAAACAGCATTTCCGGACCGAGCCAGCGCCGTGTTGCCTTGCACCAATCCCGCGCACGCTCGCGCCGAGCTCGTGCCGCCCCGCGCGCGCCACACGCCCGCACACGCTCGCACGAGGACGAACGACGAACGAATGCCGCCGTGACACCTCCAGCTTCCCGCCTCCGTATCTCCTTCGTTCCTTAACTAGAAGACTCAATACCGGAGGCAAAAGAAGCGCAATTTAAACCTCTTTCACCTCCTCAAATCCGCCCCTACCCCCGCTGGAAAATTCCCCGAAACCCTAATATCGGCGCCATTGATTGAGCTCCAAAATTTGTCGCATACATCGCAAATCCTCTGAAATTGAAGGTAAAAACGGATTCTCTATGCCGAGTACTCCCTTTCCCCTCTCTTCCCCCATCTAATCCGACGCCGGAGTGCCGCCGGCGCCGCCTCCCGGTGTCGCCGCTCTGTTCGGCCACAGCTCCAGGCCGCCCCAGGCCGAGCTGCCGCCACCACCGCGCTCCCCTTGCTCTACTGATGCTCACCATAGCCATCACCCTCACCGAAGTTCGCTGGAACCACCGCGACCATGGCCGCTGCCGCCTCCTGCTCCAGGCCGCCGCCGCCTGCACCGCCGCCAACCACGGGAACAGAGTCGCTGCACCCTGTAGATCACAAAACCGGCGCCCCTTTGCCCAAAACCGGCCATCTCCACCACTGGCGCCATGGAGTTGTCAGCCGTTCCTGTGCAGAGCGAGAGAAGAAAAGAAAAATCCGATTTTTCTGTTGAAAAATTAATCAGAAAAATCCTTTTTATCTTCCTATCAAGTTGACCATCCGTTTGACCTCAAAATCAAAATCTGAGACCTATTCTAAACTCCTAGAATTATTCCGAATCCATGCGTGTCAGTTTCGTTGCAATTCAAGCACCCGTTGTCGCGACCCTAATTTTAGCCCTAGGGTTCGCCGTTCACCGAAATTCCAAAAATTATTTCTTTAAATCCTTTTCACCCATTGTTGCACTTTGTGATACTATTTTCTTTTGGTTATCTTTGTTTTTCTGTTATTTATTGTGGTGATGATTGTTGCGTAAATAGAAAACGCTGACGCTGGTCCGGTAGTCGGAGCGAGTGAAATCTCCGCGATAGGAGGAGACGGTTTGTACGACTACATCAAGCCCGAAGGTTGCAAGATATGCACCCTCCCTTGAACAATCTAATCCCAGTAGTTAGAGAGTTATTTTGGTAGCGTACTTGTCCTTTGGAGTACGATAGACTGCATGAATCCTTTTAAATTAATTATATTACTATTATTGCATTATATTTTCTGTTGTTATTATAAACACCTTAATGAGCCTTAGAGTCTAACAAATTTAGGATAAAATTTGAGAAACACTTAAACAAACTATTAATTATTTAGCATGCTATCGATTTAGTATGGATATTATCATTGCATATGAAAACATGCTTATGGAACTATTTATAGCTATATGCTAAGAATTGTTAACACCGCTTGTGAGCGGATGGTACACATGATAGAGTTCATGTGTTTGGTTTTATGGACCTTTTTATGGTTGTGATGGATATATGGATATATCTATGGTTATTTCTTATTTAAAATTGATATAATAATCAACCCCCTTGTGTCAATAAGAATGACATAGTTTCGCCCATCCACACGATCGATTTGTAGAACCTGGTCGTATATTGCTCCAATTGATTAAACTTCTGAAGGCCTTTCGGTGTACTGGCCATTAGCTTTCAAGTGTGTGAAGCAAAGTGAAATGGTTCATGTTTATATGATTTATATATGTGGGCTCGATGGGCCCTGAGAGTTCAGAACTACCCTATGGGTCCATGAAGTTCTGGGCTGCCCATCGAATAACGAACAATGGTAAGTGGATGCAGAGGTAGGTTGGTACACACCTTGGACCGGATCACTCCGAGCAACATCCCGAGCATCCTTTAACTTACTAGGCAGAAGGGAGAGATATATGGAGCAATATTACACCTTGTTACTTTTCAGCCCGGCCAGCTGTGGGTATCGTGTGGGTAAAGCTGGGCAGACGCTGCAGAGTCGTTGAGTATTCGAATACGCCGTGCCACCTCTTACAAATGTTCTTATATACTGCAGACTTACAGTTCATAATAGTATTATATATATCCTCTGTATGGTGCATAAATTCAGATTTTTATGAGCCTTCAGATTTTTTTTTACTCTCTCAGCTTCTCATGCAGATTAACTGTTGTATTCCATGTGCAGAAAAATTTACAAGGTCTGCTCCCCTTGTCCAACAACTATTTGCATAAATTTCCCTTGAAAAAAATAGGTTCTAGCCTTCTAGGCATAATTTATAGCAAATTGAAATAGATATTTGCTGCGTGTTGAACTTTTTAGTTGATGATTGAATAGTTTCTGGAAAAGGTAAAAACAAGGAGAAAAGGAAATCCCAATGTTGCTAATGAGGCAATATAAAAAAATGCTATATTGCAATCTGCTTTGTGTAAAAACTTTTTCAATCTTCAATCTAACTGTTATTGTGCATTATTATCAACCAAATGAAGAGAGGGTGCAACCTGGAATTCCACGAGGTAGATATTTTACGTGGCGATCATGTGAATTAAGACCTTATGTTCATGGGCTTTCATTGGAAAATTTGAGTCATTAATCTGATAAGATTTCGTCCTAGCCTATTCTTCTCCAAGCTTAGTAAATTGGGTTTCACTTATTTATAATTTATCGTTTAATTTTTAGCCTTTGATTAAATGTCTTGTACTGAATCACGTAATTTTAATGTGTAAGTTTTGCAAGAATCTCTCCAACACCTTAAATGATGTTGTTTGGAAATCAGATGATCTTCAAAGTCAACATTCCTAGAGTAACTTGGGAGAGTAGGATTGTGAACTATTAGCATACCATTCTTTTGAATCAATATTCCTACTTCTAGAGGCGAGAAAAGGAGAAAGCATGTCTATTGCACTTGTACATGTGAATGACCCTGTAAATTATGTTTGGTCTCCACTCCTGTTGTATGTGTTGCTATTATCTTTTAGAGAACCTTTCTGAAAGCTTAAGTGAAGCTGATCATGCAATGAGTTTTATTTGTTAGTAAGTTTTATGTGTAAACAGTATGTTGCGAGGAACAAGTATACTTATTTTTTAAGATAATGGATTTATATTAAACCCGGCCTTTACACCTGTGAAAGTAAACTTATTGGTCAGCATCATTTTCATTTACACTGTAAAGTTGTTTTCATTCTCAGCAGGAATTTCATTTCTGTTTATCACCGTTGCCTAATGAAACAGTGCATTTTCTGTTTGTCACTGTTGTCTTATGAAACATCACCGTAACGTTAGTACAGGCATATTACTAGTATTTATAATTAGTGTCAAAACATTCGATGTGATAGGGACTTAAAGTTTTAGTCCCATCTAAACAGGGTCTTAGCTGCGTGGATGGTGTTTCGGGCTTTTTGGGCTTGGGAGGCACAAGGTTTAGAACTATCAGCCGGTGAGGGAAACACGAATTTTTTTGAGAATTAATATTATTTTTATGGAAAATTGCAAAAGTAGTGGTCAACCGGGGAAAATCGCGAAAGTAGGTCCCTGTCGAACGGGTGCAGTTCGATAGGGCGCCTATCGAACGGCCAGAGCGCGACTGGCGAGGAGATCGGAAGGCTGCCGTTCGACAGGACCTGTCGAACAGCCCCGTTCGACAGGCAGGGCTGTCGAACTGCCCCTGTTCGACAGGATGTCCGTCGAACTGGCGCAGTTCGACAGGGTCGCGTTCTCCATTTATTTGTAATAAGTTATTTTTTTTAATAATATGTAATTTATTTTAGTGTGTAAGAAAGGAAAATATTTTTGTAATGTTATATGTATATGATTTAGGGTTTTGATAATGTTTGGTCAGAAATTGTAGTATTTATTTGTTGGTTAAAATATTTGAATTATTTAGTTTCATTATTTGTATATTTGAATGATAATTTGTCATGATTCATTCGAAGGGTATGCTACTGAGTAATTATCTGAAGAAATTTATGAAATAGTACTGATAGTACTAAGTTAATCGTAAAGTGTTTCTCAAATAGTACGGACAGAACATAAATGACTAAAAGTTTAATACAAATAGATAAGTCAAGGACGATCAGTGCCCTTCGCACGCTTGCTAGGTCCTCCCTTCTTCCTACGCCTAATCTGCTCAGTGGGATATGTCAAATTATCAGGGGGGTGCCTATCTCTAGCTGCCTGCTGTGGTGTCACGTCTGGCCCCTGACCGGCCTCCGTCTCCTGCGTCGGCTGTGTGACCTGAGGTGCTGCGTGCCAGTAATCCATCCCTACTTCCCCCTGGGGAGGATCAGTGGAAAAGAAGTCCTCAATGAATGTTGTGCGAGGGGAGTAAGCAGGCATTCCGTGATGCGTCGACGCCGAACCGTACTCATCGTCTGTTTGCACAAGAGGGAGAAACCAAAAAATATGGCGTAGTTAGTAACGATACATATAATTAGAAACTAAAGCGTGTTATTGTTTAAAATGACTTACATGTGTGCTGTGTGTGGCCCTGCTCTGGCGCACGCGGAGTGATATGAAGTCCCCATGCTGGTGTGTTCAACACGTTGTCCCCCGTTGGCATGTAAGGGAAGTGTGCCGACCCAGATGCTCCCTGCGAGGGGTGAACATAAGGCGGAGTTTGGAATACCTGCGGACGTGGTGGTGCCGTGCTCGACGTGGGTACCCCTGATCCGGCTGACCCCCTGGTGTACTCCGGTGCTGGGGTGTGCTGAAAGGAAGGATGACCGTGAGATGTGTGGGCCGCTTCGTACCCGCGACGTGAAGAGGATGGACCACTCCGATCCATGCTGGAACGTCGGGGTAGTGGTGGTGATGGCCGTCGGCCCGACGTCTGCACCACATCTGCCGCGCTCCGACAGGAGACACGACGTAGTAGTGCGGCAGCACGTGCACGGAAGTTGCGAAGGATGCTCGCCACGTCGTCAAGCCTGACGACTGGAGGTCTTGCCTCTAGTCTTTGCAGTAGGGTGTCGGACTCCACGTGAACATGCTCAACAAATTCCGCCTGTTCCACAAATAATCAAGGCAATTAAAATTATTTAACCAGTTACACATTTATTAAGAGTATTTAACAAGATGCACATTTGTTAGAAATAATGAACCAGTTGCACATCATTTATAAATACTGAACTAGTTCCACATTTATGTAAGAAAAGGAACTAGTTGAACCAATTGCACATTTATTAGACATACTGAACTACTTGCTAACTTTTTAAAAATATTGAACTAGTTGCTCAAATTCCACAAATAAACACGTACCATTGAGTTGTAAGCTGATCTAGGCTGAGGGGCAAACGTGTCAGTAATCGCTGCCTGGTGGGGGACGGTGCTATCTCCTTGTGGAGGAAAACACCTCCATCGTGTAACACTGCGATACCAATGAAGGTAAGCTCCATAATAACTCCCATCGTCTGGAGGTGTCTGAAGTGCCAAGTTATCAGCTGCGTGCTCCCACTCTTGTACCGTCGGCTGAACCGTGGTCACAATAACTAGCTCGTAGGAAAGCCCGAGCCCCTTTCTGGAGTACCTGCACAACAACAAATTCACACATCAGAAAAAATGTTGTGCAGTGATTTATTTTAAAAATGTAGGATTAAACAACTGTGATGTGAACTAACCTATGAAGACTATCAGCCAAAGGACGACCATCTCTCGGAGGGAAGTCCAGATACATGCCCAACTGTTTGAGAACCCTGTAGACATTGTGTGGCTCGACGTGCACGTCCACCACGAGGTGACAAGTCGTCATCCAGAGTTGCATATCTCGCGTGCAAAGATCTGCGAGACCGTGCGGTGCACGATCATTGACATCGTGCTGAGTGTAGGGAGTCCACCGAACACGGTCAGGCGTAAGCTGATCAAAGTCAGCTACAAACTGAGTGTAGACACGACGTGTCGTCCCGCTAACCCACTGCGGCTGTAACAAGTAGTAGTTTTCATTAGTCATATAAGGAAAGTTTGTGAACTAGTATTCATAATGATAACATAAACGAATTTAACAAAAAATACCTCACGGTGTGTCCACAAGGATCCCATAGTGGGACGATCGTCGATGTCATCAACACCAGACCTGTACATCTCTCGCAAACCGTAGTTTGCGTACGAGTCAAGCTGAGGCCTCCCAATGTCGAAGCGCTCGTGCGCCCACAACATAAGTAGCAACGGGCATCCAGGGAGTGAACTTTGCTTGCTGTTCCTCACGCAAGCATCACACAGTCCGGCATATGTCGCCGCAAGTACCGCCGACCCCCAACTGTACTGTGGAATCTCCGCGATAGGTAACTCTGCAATCTGCTCCGCAAAGTGGATGAAGTGCTTGTCCACGGAGTCAGCGTGAGTTCCCGTGAACATCACCCATCCAAACAACCACAACAGGTAAGCGACTAAGTGCCGCTGCACGATCCACTCCTCCTGGTCATCAGGGAAGACATCCTGTCGAAACTGATTCAACCAACTTTTCGTAGGCCCGTGCCCATCTGTGAGATCCTCCAGTGCAACAGGCAGCACACCACCAAAACTGGCCAGAAGGTCATCCGCCCATCCAGCATTCACCATTGTTGGGCCAACTGCTGGCCCAGTTATCAGCAGCCCCAACAAATAAGACACATCCTGCAGAGTGGGCACCATCTCTCCAACTGTGAGGTGGAAAGTGTGGGTCTCAGGCCTCCATCTATCCACAAGAGCACTCAGAAGCGCCGCGTCAATGTGGATTCGTTCGGACCTTGCACGTGAAGGCTCGACCAACCGTGCAAACGTCAACAACCCAGCTGCTCTCAGCCTACAACATGACAGAGCGCAAGTTATTAATACATGAAAATATAAACACCTTGTATTAGTAAAAACAATATTTTTTCACACACCTTGAAACCCAACGAGGATCAATACGCCAATATTGATCCGGTCCTCGCATCTTTAGCACATTGCAGAAAGTTCCTGTACTAAGACGTCGCGATCGATGGTTCCTATCGATCTCCTTGTCTATCAGCTGCCCATCATATTGATCAGCCATACCTGCAGATCGAAAACCACATTAGTACAATGCACGTATGGTAACAGTACAGTAAATGTATGCAACATAATTCAAGTAACAAATTTGCATGCCATTTCAATTTAAAATTACAGTACCAGCACACATAGATACAGATAAGAACAGTTCAGTACATTTCAATTTAAAATTACAAGCCCACGACACATATATTATGATATTACAAGTGCAGTGCAGTTCGAAATTTAAATTACAATTCCAATACAAATACATGACGATATTAAAAGTGCAGTGCAGTTCAAAATGAAAATTACAAGGCCATTACAAATAGATTCGGGTAATAAAAGTGCAAGAAAGTTCAAATTAAAATTACAGACGCACTAAACATAAATTGAAAGATAACGATCTTCAAAGTAGGGAGTCCACCAAGGATAATAGCGAACTAAGGATTATTTTTCTTCTTCGACTTCCCCTTTGGAACGCGACGAACATCAGCGCCTGTGGCATCTTGCCCTACATTGTACATGCTGCAATCTTTACGGGAATGGTTCTCCCCACAAAGAATGCAAGCTTTCTTACGACGAGAACGATCTTTCACTTCAGCTTCATCCATAAGGTTCTTGATCCTGCGCGACTGGCGACGACCCTTAGTATCAACTAATAAATTTGAGTCAGGAACCCAATTGGCTTGCCCTGGAGGAGGACGAATGAAATCGCACAAGGCACGCCAACCACGCAATTCACCACGCCAAGTTGCCTCCCACGATTCCTTTCTAAAGTAGGGAGAAACAAAAATGTTTCCATCAACACCCCCTTTTGCGGAAGCAGCAAGAACATGGGAACATGGCCGATGTAACAGGTAAGTCTTGTTGCAATTGCATTTGCAAGCGTGATACTCTGGCCACAACGTGCATTCCAATGTGATGTCAGTAGTCCCAATGCCGACACCACTCTTGTCACGAAGTCGTATCTCAAATAACAACTCTCTATTCCCAGCAGGCCACACTCTGTGGATTCCTCCCTTCTTACTTTTCTCATCCATGTACTGTGTAATAACGGGGCTATACTTAACACTGGGTTTGCTAAGGTTCAGACTAGCCATGGAATACCTTTTACAGAGATATTTCTGTGTACCCCTCGTGATGCCCTCCAGGATAGCAACAAGTGGTAGAGGTCGTGTATTCTTCATAACCCAGTTATACACTTCAGCAAGATTTGTTGTCATCACACCATACCTCGATCCATCTGTATCGTACAACAACGACCATTTCTCCCTTGGCTCAAATTCTACCCACTCCGTGAAGCACTTCGTGGCCCTTCCACGCTTCCTGCGCCGAGTAATACTTGGTGCTTCATTAGGAATGGGTTCAAGTCCCTCCGGCTCCTCCTGTCTGGCAACTATAGGTTTTTTCCTAACATCTTCCATGTGTGTAGTGGTCAAACGATCCAGTTGATCCCATATGGCATCAAACTTTCTTTGTTGATTATGCTTGCATAACTTCTTGAACAGGTCCATCAATCTCTTACTCCTGAATTGTCTATAAAAATTAGCCCCAAAATGTCGCATGCACCATCTGCTATGTAAATCTGGCCATGGCACGGACTGTGTGACATCTTCTTGAAGCTTCTGTATCGCTGATAGCAAACCGGCGTGTCGGTCATGCAGAACACACACATTTGGTCTGTTTTCAACAACACACATTTTAATGTGCCGCAAAAACCATAGCCAGCTTGATGTGTTCTCGCTTTCAACAAATGCAAAAGCAACAGGAACGACATGGCTATCCGCGTCGACTCCGATCGCGGTTAGAATTGTTCCTCTGTACTTGCCTGTCATGAAAGTGCCATTAACACAGAGCAAAGGAATGCAATTTCTAAAGGCCTCTATCATGCACCCAAATGACCAGAAAGCCCGACGAAGAACATTCTCCCCATATTCATTCACCTCATCGAGAATAGCCATGTGTGTGCCCGGGTTTCTTGCCTGCATCACCTCCAATAGTGGATGAAGATTGTGATAAGAATCCTCATAAGTTCCAAACCTCATCTCCAATGCTTTCTGTTTTGCCCTCCAAGCCTTGTCGTACGATATCTCATATCCGTACTCTTTCTCAACGTCATGCCTTATGGTGAAAGGGGACAAAGATGTTTTTCTAACCACCTTTGAATATACCATTTGTGCCACAAATGCCGCTGTCAGGTTTCTGTGCACCAGACGGGTATTCTCCAACAAACACGTATGTTGCTCAACTCTCGAAGCTACCCATAAAGTGTCATGTTGTGGCTTGTAACCATGCACTCTCCAAGGACATCCACCCTGTATGCACTTCACGTCATACGTCGTCCTATTTGAAACCTTCAGCCCTGAACTCACGCTTCTGGACAAATGCCCACCTCTTCACCGCATCTTGTAAGTGACCTTTGTCATGAAACATCTGTCCAACTTTCACCTGCTTACTATCATAACACCAGTGGGCATCTAAACCATCGTTTACCTTCATACGACTCATTGATATGGTCGTCCAAGTCATCGGGTATGTTAGTTTCGTTGTCCCACAGTGTTGTATCTTCTCCTTCCACTACAAGCGCAAGGTATTCCTCGTTTTCCACTTCCATCTGATCCACTACCGCCTCATTCTCCTCCGTTGCATCAACACGCATAGGCGAATCCGGTTCTTCATCATCCGAGTCGTTGGCCTCACGATTAGTACCACGAACAATGACCTCTCCTTGTGTATTACCCTCTACTACTTCTTCCCCTCGACCTTGCTCAGTCCGCCAAACATTTTCAGCTTGTCCACCTTCCAA